CTTCTGCGTTGCTCACGTGCTTCTGCTTTCCTTCTGCTTTGCTTACTCCCAAGCTCCCCCACGTTGTTGACTCCTCTGTCTCGCTGACTGCCCATGATGCTGCCCTCACGTTGCTTCTGCTTGCTTCCGCTGACACCCCTTCTTCTGCTGACTTATTGACCTCTCGTCCTTGCTGACTTCCTCTGCTGACCTCCTGCTGCCCACGCCTTTGCTGCTGCTGCCCATGATGAACCTCACTTGCTGCTTCTGTTTCTGGCTTGCTACTGCTGCTACTGCTGACTTATTCATTTCTGTTGCTTCTGCTGCCGTGCTGCTTCTTCCTCTGCTTGTGTCTGCTGCTGCCTTCTGCTTGCTGACTGCTGCCCCAATTGCTGACTCCCTGACCTTACCATGCCGTTGCTGACCAGCCCCACGACTCCCCACCAGCCCTCATCATTGCTTCTTCTTTCCCTTCTTCTTCTGCTTTGTGGCTTGCTGCTTTGTTTCTGCTTCACTGCTTCGGTTTCTTGCTGCTGCTCACCGCCAGACCAGCCCCTTTTCCCTCTCGCCATCACCACCACCCACGATCACCCTCACACCATCACCGACCACCTGAGCTGCCATCCGCCGTGCGCCCTCGCCATTGCTTCGCCGGAGTAGCCGTTGCCGTGCCGAGGCTCTCTATTGCTCCCGTTGCTCGGTTTTCTTGCTTAGGCTAAGAGTAAGTGGCTTCCCAACCCTTGACTAGGCTAAGGGGTGACTAATGGACATGTTAAGGGTGGATTAGGGCTGTGGATAGTTGGTTTAGTGGCTGGTTTGTGCTTGGTTTGCTTGGTGGTGCTTGTTGGTTGATTTCCGGTAAGGTTGCTGCTGCATCGCTGGATTTTGCTATTTTTTCTGTGATTTGTGTGAGCCGAATTTGAGGAAGTGTTCTTCATGAAAGTTGCTCATAACATCTTGTAGTATGACATATATTACGGCAAAAGAACACTACAAGTGCCATAACTTGTATACGGCGCTCACTTTGGTGCCATAAGTTTTTTTTTATCACTTTAGTGCTAAAATTTTTGAAAAACGATCACTTAAGTGCCAACTCCGGTGCCGTACACAATTTTTCGCTGGAAATCCGATGTGGCATTTTTTTTATTAATTTCTGAAGCTGACGTGGCTCGCCGGAGATTGGCACTTAAGGGATCATTTTTCAAAAATTTTAGCACTTAAATGATCGTTTTTAAAAAATTTTAGCACTTAAGTGATCGTTTTTCAAAAATTTTAGCACTGAAGTGATCCAAAAAAAACTTATGACACTTAAATGATCGTTTTTCCTCCGACTTGGCACCAAAGTGATCCGAAAAAAAGTTATGGCACCAAAGTGATCTCCGTACACAAGTTATGGCACTTATAGTGTCCTTTTGCCCATATATTACATATGGAATTTTGGGAGATCATTTAGTGCCATTCGTAAGTCCATTTTTGGACCGAATTCAGTCCGCCGGATTTACTGTTCATCCGACCTTCTGGTCTTTCCGATTTTCTATAAATTTTTTTAGACCTCTTTTCAATAAAATTCCTTCACAAAAATTGTTAATAACATCCGTTTCTATGACATATAAAAATTTCAAAACTTTCCAAAGTGATTAATTGCTCAATTATCCAATGAGAAAATTTCAGCTTTTATAATACTCATGGGTTGGGCTGAATTTTCTCACACTATGGGCTTAGTTCAGTTAGCATAAATTAAGCTCAGAACCATTTAAGTCCGTCCATCACCGGTCCAATGCAAATGCAATTATATGAGCCTAACTACTAATGCAAATGATCCTAATATCTAAATGCAATTTAACTAATTTTTTTTTTATCTAGGGGCCAATGTCGATCCCTAATTTTTCTATGCAATGAATTACTGAACGGTGTGTCAAAATTTAGATGTCAACAGTACTCATCTGAACAACGATCCAAACTTTGGCACCTTTGGACCGAATCAAACAAGCCTATGCCAATCAAGCTCAACAACCTTCAGCCAGCGGCCAGACTGATATTACCACTAGCAAAACCCGCTCCCACGTGTTTGTTCCTGTCAAAATTGTATGTTTGAAATTCAAATGATCCTCTAGCTGAGTCGGGTCTTATTATATTGAGATTATATTTCTACAGTAGGATTTCCTCTAATTTAGTGATGGTGGTTTCTGGAACTGCAATGACGTACTTTTGGATGCAGTCATCCACATATGATCGATGAACTCACCAAGCATTAAGCAACAGATTAGTTCATATAGTGAGGGTGACCTGACAGACGGTTTTACTCCCGAGCGGATTAGTTAGCGTAGGCTGGTCTGGACCCTTGAGCAAGAGATTTGATGGCAGAGCAGTTAGGTATTTACAACCAAGGCCCTAGTCCGATCTTTCCTCAAGAGAGAGGATTGGTTATGCTTGATTGAAGGCTTGATGGCCGAAGGACAGATGTATAGCCGAAAAGGGACCCCGTCCCAAATCGGGTTCAGTAGAATTGCAGATAAGGAAAATCTGGAATTTGTTTTCTTTATTCATCTGCACCCAACACCAGTAGAATGAATGAATACTCATCACGCCGAGCAGGCGTCATTCGAGTTTGCTTTGCTTAATATGAGGATATTTTTTGACAGTGAATGAGAAAGGAACAGAAAGAAGAGACTTATCAGGACTTTCTCCTGAAGAATATGAGCCACAGTTTTTGTGATTTCATTACATATCTGAATATTGGTTTATTAGTTGTGCTTAGGTAGCTATTTGTTGACAATCTTTTAATGTACCCAAAAGAGGTCAATGAATCTTTGCAGGCGGCAGCAATGGTGGCGGCTGACGAATAAAAAAACATATGAGAAGAGTCTACTTTGTTCCTTTTTGTCTGCGGTGCTTGGCTTCAATAGTGCATGTTCATAACAACCAGTCAATGTCCTGCGCAAGTGGGGAGCAATCCATTGCATCGGTCCCTCTTTGATTCCATTAAAACGGAGAAAGAAACAAATCTCATATAGTGAGGGTGACCTGACAGAACAGTTTTACTTCTGAGCGGATTAGTTAGTGTTGGCTGGGCTGGACCCTTGAGCAAGAGATTTGATGGCAGAGCAGTTAGGTATTTACAACCAAGGCCCGAGTCCGATCTCTCCTCAGGAGAGAGGAATGGTTATGCTTGATTGAAGGCTCGAAGGCTGAAGAACATATGTATAGCCGATAAGGGACCCTGTCCCAAATCGGGTTCAGTAGAAATGCAGATCTTACTAAGGAGGATCCGGAACTTGTTTTCTTCATTCATCTGCACCCAACACCAGTAGAATGAATACTCATCACGCCGAGCACACGTCATTCGAGTTTCCTTTGCTTAATATGAGGATTTTTTTGGACAATGAATGAGAAAAGGAACAGAAAGAAGAGACTCGTCAGGACTTTCTGCTGAAGAACATGATCCACATTTTTTGTGATTTAGTTACATATCTGTATATTAGTTTATTAGTTGTGCTTAGGTAGCTATTAGTTGATAATCTTTTAATGTACCCAGAAGAGGCCAATGAATCTTTGCAGGCGGCAGCAATGGTAGTGGGCGGCTGACGAATAAAACAAATTAACCCCTACTTGCCAGGAAAAAAAACATATGAGAAGAGTCTACTCTGTTCCTTTTTGTCCGCGGTGCTTGGCTTCAATAGTGCATGTTCATAACAACCAATCAATGTCTTGTGCAAGTGGGGAGCAATCCATTGCATCGGTCCCCCTTTCACTCTGTAAAAACGGAGAAAGAAACAAATGCCATCAACCACCGAGACTATCAGCATCATATCTATTCCCCCACTTCTTTTAGGCGAAGCTTTCAAAATCCTGAAAATGTATAGATATCATATGAGAATTATATGAGCATGTGTTATTAGAAAGAGTTAGTATTTGAAGGTTTGAATACTTGCTGTGATCTGTCCGTGAGAACAACCTTGGGCTGGGTTCACTCCAATGTGGAGAAAGCCCAGTAAAATGCAAGTCCGAAGGTTTGAGTGCATATGATGATTCATGTGGAGAAAGTAATGGGAGGTTATATTTGGCCTAAATAAATAGGGTTTCTCTTTATTTATGTGGTAGCGGCAAAGAATGATTAGCAAGAGAGAAAGAGAGGCAAAAAATCTAGAAAGACGGTGTTGTCTGGTTTTCATCAAGCTGACAATTAGAGGTCGATCTGCGGTCTGCAGCGTGCTTGTGACACATTGTTCTCGAATCTAATTGGTTTGATTTTTATTTGGATCTCCCTTTGTCAGGTTTTTCGTGGGTAGAACCGAACCTGTGTTATAGTGAGATTTCATGTGTTTTGCCAAGAATAGTGTTCTTGATATCGTTGCTACTATATACCTCTAGTATTAACTAGATAAGAACTTTGTTCACCTTATTTTTGTTGATTGTGAAGATTTCGGATGGACTCCGGTCCCGTGGAGATTTTCCACGTAAAAACTGCCTTGTATTTGTGGATGCTTGATATTTATATTTTGGCAGATATATTGCTCTATTGTGTTGTTTTATATTAGGATTCCACAAGAGAGGAGATTGTTTTGTTCCGTTATGCTAATTTGATATTTGTGGGTGCTTGATATTTATATTTTTGGCAAATACATTGTATTTCAACAAAGTGTTATCATAGCAAGTACCTTGCTCGATTTTCCAATCCTGTGTTAAACGATGAAAACAAAAACGAGTACAATGGTTACGTCAAATGGTTGGACCCAAGACCCAAAGCCTCCAAAATAATGTAGGAGGAATCAACTTTGATGTCAATCCGTCTAGACAAGTAATAATTTATCCATGAGAAAGTAAGCTTCCACCGTAGATCGATCGCAGCGAGAATAAAAAGGATGACAATTTGTCCACGATTCTCCAGAAATGGACCCGATGGTGACGTGAAGAGAAAAAAGAAGGTGAGGGCCTCGACGAAAAGAGATAATATTGCTCTAGAAAGGAAAAATGGAAGAAATGCAGGAGGACCACCTCAATGGCCTCCATATAATAGAAGAAATAGAGGAACATGCACCTTTGTAGATTCAGAAGGAGGCGAGCCCCGTAAGTCATAAGCCCAGAGAGATGGATTTCTTAGCCTTGATATTTTGCCTCTACCTCCTCTGGGGCTTGTTCCAAGCTCTCTCTTTGATTGCAAAGAGAGGCAAGAGGTCTCCCTCCAACCTCCCGCCCGGCCCCCGCCCTCTTCCGGTCATTGGCAACCTTCTCGAACTCGGAAACCTTCCCCACAAGTCTCTTGCCAAGCTCGCTCGCACTTACGGCCCCATAATCAAACTTCAGCTCGGCTCTGTAACCACGGTCGTGATCTCTTCCCCGACGCTCGCCAGAGAGATCCTCCAAAGTCATGATGCTGTCTTCGCTAATCGCACAATTCCCGACACCATCACGGCCCATGACCATCACCAGCTCGGCTTGCCTTGGATGCCCGTTTCGCCTCTCTTCCGAAACCTGAGGAAAATATACAACTCACACCTTTTGTCCAGTAAGAAACTTGATTCCAACCGGCATCTTCGCAGCAAGAAAGTGCAAGAGCTCGTCGCTTATGTTGGAAAATGTGCACACAACGGTGACGTTGTTGATATTGGTGAGGCAGCTTTTAGGACTACACTCAACTCTCTGTCTAACACGGTTTTCTCTTTGGACATGACGGACCCTTCAACTTCTGCCAAGGAGTTGAAGGAGGTAATGTGGCAAATCATGGCCGAGGTTGGAAAGCCAAACATTGCAGATTACTTTCCTGTGCTCAAGAAGATTGACCCACAGGGTTCGAAGCAGCGCACCGAGTTGCATTTCAGTAAGATGTTAGATATCTTCGATGGGCTGATCAAGCAAAGGTTGCAGCTGAGAACGCAGCCTGGTGCCACCACAAGCAACGATGTTTTGGATGCTCTTCTTGATGTTGTGGAAGATAAGAGTGAGGATCTGGACATCTCTCTAGTCAAGCATCTGTTTCTGGTAAGCTGTCCTGATATTCATGGATGCTTCTCTACGTTATTTTCTGATTAGTCAAACGATCTATTTTATTTAGTGTATATCGTATAGTTTATTATGTTATTTGATAGCAATAAAAAAGAAATCTAAAAACCATACTGAAGCAAAGAGGTTGCTTCAATTTAGTTTTAGCTGTTAAGGACAAGTACAAATTCGATTTCACTTCAGTTGGAGCTTATGCTGAACTTAGGTTGGCTTCTTTTTCCCCACAAAATCAATCTCAATCAACCCTTCATAAGTACTTGTCATGCTCTTATGTCTCCTGCTATGATGACAACAGGACTTTTTTGTTGCTGGTAGCGAAACCACTTCGAGTACTCTAGAGTGGGCGATGGGGGAACTACTTCGCAACCCGGAGAAGCTATCAAGAGCCCAAACCGAGCTCCACCTCCTCATTGGAAAAGGCAAGCAGATGAAAGAAGCCGACATATCTCGCTTACCCTATTTACAAGCTACCGTAAAAGAAACTTTGCGAATGCACCCACCAATTCCACTCCTTCTGCCTCGCAAAGCCGAAGCCGATGCACAAATAGGGGGTTTCACTATTCCAAAAGGTGCACAAGTGCTTCTTAATGCATGGGCTATAGGAAGAGATCCTGCAATTTGGGCCAGTCCAAATGAGTTCATGCCAGAGAGATTTTTGGGATCTGACATAGATCTGAGGGGACAAAACTTCGAGCTCATACCGTTTGGTGGCGGCAGGCGGATTTGTCCGGGATTGCCACTGGCCATGAGAATGTTACATCTGATGCTGGGTTCACTCATTAACGCATTCAACTGGAGGCTCGAAGATGGTGTCGCACCAGGTAAGATGAACATGGAAGACAAGTTCGGGATAACCGTGCAACGGGCTCAACCCGTGAAAGCAGTGGCTGTACCAGTGTAACTCACGTGAAGGTTTTATGTCATAACACCTGCTACGTGACCATTACTTTAAAGAAATTGTGAGACCATTCATCTCGACACATTTCCATTGTATGATTGGTTCTTTGCATGAAACCATCACCGTTCAATGGAATGAATCTATATCGTATTCTTGGTTGTATTCTCTAGTTTTGGCGTCGATGCTACACTCCATTGTTAAGTAACTTGTGTAATATAAACTCTTTGCAACTAGTTCGAGGAGTAAATAGAATTTGTACATTTGTAATTGATTAGCTTTGCAATTGAGGAAGACTAGTTTGTTGCTGAAGAGATTGGAGAGTGAAAAGAACTTGCAGAAGATGGCAAATTGTCCCTACATCATTTTTCTCTTCCTTTGTCCCATTTGCCTTCTGACCATCCATCACTAATCTTGATTTGTGTAGTATTCATTCAACACATGAAATAGTTTCCACTTTTGAGGACTGGAAGCTCTATAACCCGAATAAGTGACCCTAGTCCATGATCAAGAGTCATGATGGACTCGGGCTGGGTCCAGTCAAGTTCTTGTCTTGTAATAAAAACAAACTGCTTTCCTCGTTGACATGCACAGTTTCAAGAAATTATGTACCGGGATTGTGCAAGAATGACGGTTCGCTAAAAAAAAAGTTACAACATACTTTTTGTTGTGATTAGATCTATCCACCGCGGTCGAATGAATCTGTCCAAATTCTTTTTATTGATTTCTACTGTGAGACAATTACGCAAGCCATCCGTACAAATCGTTTGGGGTAGCATTATTTTTTACTAACGTGAGCTATGGAAAAACTTCATCCTTCGCACTTCTGTGTGTTCAAGGAAGAGTGCATTACATGTACGCGCAATTATGTATCTAACCTACCTATACGTATTCATACTGTCCACATACTTATCTAATACTACATGCAGCATGTTTCTATATTTCTAGTCAACACCGTCCTTGATTCTATAGTAATGCAGTTTATCTCTCTACACATACATTTCCATGAAATACACAAGGAAGAACTCCCATCTGATTGGTCCATTCATGCCTTGGCGATATGAGCCGTTAAGATTACTTAAAGCCCTATTTGTGCAAAAACCACTCGGGAAAAGTGTCAAAAAAGTCTTAAACCTTTGGCATTGGTGTCAATTTAGTCATAAACCTTTTTTTGGTGCCAATTCAGTCCTAAACATTTGGCATTGGTGCCAATTTAGTCCCAAATCCTTTTTTGGTGCCAATTCAGTCATAAACCTTTTACATTTGTGCCAATTCAGTCCTAAATCTTTTGTCTTTGTGCCAATTGAGTCATTCCGGCCAATTTTGGCCGGATTTTGCTGACATGGACATCGGCCGGCCGGCGGCCGATCACTGGCGCTGACGTGGACAACTTTAATAATATTTTAATATTTTTTTGAATTTTTATTTATTTTTTCTCTTTTTTTTCCCCTCCCCTCCCTCCTTCCTCTAGCCGATCGTTGGATCGTCGGATCGGCGACCGGCCAGAGGTCAGAGTCCAGCGAGGTCAACCTCGCCGGCCACTGGCGAGGCTCGCTCTCGCCGGCCACTATGAAGGCGAGCCTCGCCCAACCGCAGGCGAGGCTTGACCTTGCCAGATCCGATGAGGTCAAGCCTCGCCCGCCTAGCGCGAGACTGCCCTCACGGCCATTTGGTGAGGCAACCACACCGGCCTCTGGCCTTTGGACCGGCGACCGGCTGGGGGAAGGAGGGAAGGGAGGAAAAAAACATAAATAATAAAAAAATATTAAAATATTATTAAAAATTATCCACGTCAGCATCAGTAGCCGATTGGCGTCCATGTCAGCAAAATCCGATCAAAATTAGCCGAAATGACTGAATTGGCACAAAAATAAAGGTTTGGGACTGAATTAGCATAAATGCAAAATGTTTATGACTAAATTGGCATAAAAAAAAGGTTTAGGACTAAATTGGCACAAAACCACTCCCCCATCACGTTCTTGAGGAAAAAGTACTTTTCTCTTGAGGTTTGTCAATTTTTATTTTTGGGGGAAAATTACAAAAAAAGTCCTTAATCTATTGCAATTGTACCAATTTAATCCTAAACCTTTTTTTTGTCAATTAGGTCATAAACATTTTACTTTTGTACCAATTCAATCCATCAGGCCAATTTTGGCTAACAAACACAAACATGGACGCTGACTGTCCTACGTAGCGTTATCGGTTTTGACGTGGACAAAATTTGATATTTTTTTTAAATATTGTTTAATTTTATTTATTCTTTTTTTTTCTTTCTCTTTCTTTTTCTTTCTTCCCTTCTTCTTCCTCTAGCCGGTCGCTGGACCTCGGAGACCGACCAGAGACGAGGGCTGGCAAGGCTCGACTAGTGAGAGCGAGGACATGATGAGGGTGAGGGCATGGCGACGGCGAGGGCATGCCCTAATCAAGAAGAAACCGTCACATCTGATTACCAATTCCTTGAACGATAGATTTGAATAGGAGCAAATCGAAATGGAGAGAGAGAGAGAGCAATTCCTCTAACGATTGATTACCAATCCCTTCGATGATTGAATAATCAATTTTTCTTTTCTTTTTTCTTTTCCTTTCTTCCTTTGTTTTTTTTTAATTGAGGGCCGGGGAGGGCTGTCGGTCGACCCTCGCTAGCCCTAGGCGAGGTGATCTTGGTCACCGCTGTTGCCATGGACTGGCGGAGGGAAATAAGAAAAAAAGAAAACGAAAAGGAAAGGAAAAAAAGAAAAAATTAAAAAATCGCGAAAAAGTGTCCATGTCAGCATTGGTCATGCCACGTAAGACGGTCAGTGTCTACGTCAGTGATTTCCGACTAAAATTGGCCGGAAGGACTACATTGCCAAATCATAAAAAAGTTCATGACTAAATTGACCAAATTCAAAGATTTAATACCGCATTGGCATATGTACAATAGATGTAAGTACGCTTTTGATCATTTTCTTACCTCCAAGTGTTGACACCTAAATTTTGGCTAACCATTTAATAATCAGTGCATAGAAAATTAGGGATTAATCTCTAACCCCTAAACAAAAATATTAAAATTAGATTGCATAGCATATAGTTTAGGAGCATGTAGTTCAATCCATTAATTACATTGGGCTAGCGGTGGTGAATAGACCTAAATCAATCACGTGGATTAAGCCTACTTTACATGAGAAATTCAGTCAAGCCATGGAGGCATAGTGGTTGAAAAACAAGCCCAAGATTAAAATAACTAAGCTTCAATTGAGTGGGGTTTAGCCCGTTAGAGTTAAAAAAAAAAGGCTTTGTGATTAAAGAGCCCATGAAGATTAAGCCTTCTATTGGAAAAACTCATAATCAAGATTAGGGAATAAAAAACCTAATTTGCACTATAAATAGACCTTAACTCTTCACAATTGGGGGAGGCCACACAATTGATATACACGGCCACATTGAAGGACACACAATAGAATATATTGCCACAATACAAAAAGAGAGAGAGAGAGGCGCTGAGTGGTGAACAACAATTGAAGAGGTTCACGGGCAGAGATCTTCTCACGAAATTCACGCCTTCAGACCTTCACCATCAGGATCCCATGAAACACTTCAGATTCATGCCTCCACTTTGAGTTTTCCTTACTATTTTCTGTTGGTTATCGACTAACCACGAAGGAAATTTGCAGGGGGAAGAGCCATAATACATGGCACACATAAACAGAGAAAATGGGAGAGAATTTGTCTTCATCCGTGGAGGAGAGTAAGACACGGGGAGGTTTGGGGGTTCTGCACAGAGAAAAATCGGGAGAACTTGCAGGTGTTGCGCTTGGCTGTTTGCTGGTCCAACTTCACGTTGCAGCTGTCGCCGTGCTGGTCTCTGCTTCTTGCAGCGTTTCCGACATTCCACGAGCACTCTTGAAGCTTTCCGTTGGTCTGGTTGTCCTCTGCTTCCCACCACGTCGAGCCCTTTGCAACTCCTGTCATCACCTGGTTCCATCTGGCTGGATGTAGCGTTTCTCGGGTTGCTGTAAGTGGGAGATCGGCCAATTCTTATCATTTTTTTCGGATCACTTAACTGTTACTTTTTAAAAAAAACGTTTACTTAAATGTAAATTCCAATTTGGGTCATCGGAAATCTGACGTTGCCATATTTTATTAATTTCTCAGTCCTACGTGGCACGTCGGCGCTGACGGGGATAATTTTTAATAATATTTTAATATTTTTTCGATTTTTTAAATATTTTTCCTTTTTTTCCTTTTTTTTTCTTTTTTTCTTTTCTTTCTTCTTCTTCTACCTTTGGCCGGTGTGGGCCGGCCACCTAGCCTCTCCTGGACGAGGCCGCTATCGCCTACCATAGGTGAGGGTCGACCTCCCCTCACCTAGGCAAGGGCCGGCCTCCCCTCACCTGGGCAATGGCGAGCCCCGGCGAGGGCTCTCCTCGCTAGATTCGGCGAGAGTTGGCCTCGCCTCGCCCCGGCAAGGGCTCCCCTCGCCAGATCTGGCAAGGCCGGCCCTCACCCAAGCCAGGGCGGCCTCGTTGAGCGTTGCCTTCCACCGGGAGATGCCCGGTGAGGCCATCGTGGCTTGGGCGAGGGCCGGCCTCGCCGGGGCTCGCCCTTGCCCAGGCGAGGAGAGGCCGACCCTCGCCAGGGCCCACCCGCCCTTGCTCGGACGAGGGTTGGCTGGGCCCCGCTTATGGCGGGCGACGGCAGCCTCGTCCGGGCGAGGCCAGGCGGTCGGCCATGGCCAGTGGCCGATGGTCAGTGTCCGATTATCGGTGAGATTTAGAAGAAGAAGAAAGAAAATAAAAAAAAAAGAAGGAAAAAAAGAAAAAAATCTGAAAAATATTTAAAAATTTGAAATATACATGTGGAAATGCCACGTAGACTGATTTTTTTTTTTAAAAAATGCAACTCAGATTAAAATTTTAATTATAAAAGTCACGTATTAATTTGGTCGAAATTTCTCGCTGTTGGCACTTAAGTGATCATTTTTCTTTCGATTTGGCACTTAAGTGAGTCGGCAAAAACTTTTAGCACTAAAGTGAGCGTCGCGCACAAGTTTTGGCATGTCTAGTATTCTTCTCCCCAGGTTGTCTAAAGCTCTCTTGGCCACACCGCGAGTCCACCACCACTGTTTGTCCATACCGCGAGCCCGAGAAGCCCACACCATGGCTATCCTTGCCTTGAACCCAGCT